AGAATATAACTGAAATGGAAAATTTGATGGAATTTTGTTCCAATAATTTCAAACCTTCGTCGAAGAAGTCTTCTAATTCATCATGAAGTTTCAACTGACGTTTCTTCATATCAGTACGTTTGTTGAAAGAATCGGATTTCTCACTGCTGTTCATCACACCATCTGTCTCCATTAATTTACAAATACGATCTCCAATCTGAAAAGGGGGCATAATCTACTGAAATGATCTCTACGAAATTATGTTGATAAAGTGATTGAAGCCAACAAACAAAAACTGAAATACCGATGCAAATGATTCTGCTCACTAATGAGAATATTGAAAATGATACAAGAAGAAATTACCTGATGCGCCCAATGATAGAAGCATCGTCCGGCAGCCCGTTGCATCATATGCATACGTCTGGTTGCACTCGGTGTTCCACGATTCCCCAATGCACCCCCACAGCCCATAAGGCTCAGCTGACGCGCTGTACTTGAGCGAATCCATTCTGGCCAATCACCTAAAGCCAAATCCATCATCGTTTTTTGTCACTCACATCGATCAGCTATCTGGTTTGTATATATTTGATGCTTGGAGAAATGATCGCAATGTATGATCGATCGCTTGTTCATTAATAATGATTGGGATCGCTCATTATCAATGATGCACACATCAATATCGCAAGTATTCATGAATAATGGGCAATATCCACAGGAAAATTGTGTTGAGCGACATCTTGAGAATCAATTGAATTCCACGAATGACTGATAAAAGTATCGCAAGACAAACGGATGTACATACCTTTATTGCAGCGATGAACAAAATGTGCACACTCCAAAATCAGCGCTGCTCTGCCAAGAATCGGTGACTTCAGATCCAATAAAGCGGCCAATAAAGGTGCATCCGGAAAACTTCCCGGTCTACAAGTCTCCAGAAGAAAAGCAAAACGACGAACACCTTCGCGGATTCCACGCAGATTAACCAGTTTTTTCGGTGGAATCGGTATGCCTCCCAGCGGTGAACGTTTCGTGTAAACGGCTTCTGAAAGTTTCAAATTCACTGAATAGAAAATATTGTCGGTTTTCATTGAAATGAACTAATTGCATACGCTAGCCACAAATAATGTCTCAAACTAGACGTGCGTGAGCAGGTGAATCATACTTTCTGAGTGAAATATCTGAAGTGAGTGAACTGATCGAAACGCTGTTGCAATTGAGTATCATTAATAGTTCATAGCAGC